CGGAACTGGGGACGCAGCGAGCTAGCGGCCGGCCTCAAGCCCCACCGTCAGAGGGCAAGGCCAGCTGTGCCCGGCCCCAGAGCTCTTTCCTCCCGGCCCGGTGCTCTCGCGCCCGATCGGGGTTCATGGAGCCGGGGCTGTGGCTCCTTTTCGGCCTCACAGTGATCTCCGCCGCAGGTAAGCGCGCGGGACGGACGGCGCCAGCGCACACAAAAGGCCCCGGGGTAGGCGGCAGGGGCGCGGGAGGGTGTGCGTTGCGGGGAGCGAGGTCTTGCCTGGGCGCTCCAGTCCGGAAGACTCCTGGGGACGGGTTGCGGGGCACAAGAACTACACCGCGGGGCTCTGGGCGTTGCTGCTATCCGGACGGAACCAGTCAAGTTTCCATGAAGTTGAGAACTTTTCAGAAAGTTTGCGACCTCTTCAGAGGCTGCACAAAATGCTTGGAGCGTTTTCAGAAAGTATGCAAACTGTGTGCAAGTGTTCAGCGGGTTAAAATAGCTTGCAGACTTTGCAGAGAGGAAAAATGTCTTGAGAACTTTTCACAAAGCATGCACACAGCTTGCAAGGTTTTCAGACACTGTGCGCATAGCTTTGCAAGCTTCGCAGACATTTTCCTTGCCCCACCTCTCCCCTGCAAAGTGTTTGGGGATGGCGGGTGTTGAGGGGTCTGCACGCTCAGCTCAGGAGCCTTCCATCTGCCTCCCGCAGGATTCGTGCCTCGCCCCCAGCCTGGGGACGCTGGCAGGAGCTGCGTGCCCCAGGCCCCCCCTGCAGCCAGATCTGAGGGGCACGGCGAAGGGACCTTGGTGGCTGGCCCTGGTGAGGGGACTGAGGCCCCGACCGCAGTGCAGGGGCCGAGCCCTGGAAGCCCTGGGCAGGAGCCGGGGCCACAGCAGTCTGGGGAGCAGACGGCCAAGGGGAGGCAGGAACACCACCGACCCAGGCGCTGCACGTGTTTTACCTACAAGGACAAGGAGTGTGTCTACTATTGCCACCTGGACATCATCTGGATCAACACTCCTGAGTGAGTCAGTCCTGGGGGGTGGGGAGCATGGCTCCTGGGCCAGGCCCACATTTTCACACACACATTTTCACACACCCTACCAGTCCAGGCAGCCCTGAGACTGCTCTGGCACAATCACAGCTCTCACTGGAGTCTCCCTGTCAGCCCAGGTCCCTTTTGCAGGTCAGGGGTGTGACCCAGGCCCCCATGGAGGGCCTGGCCCAGGAGAAACTCAATCCTGAGTTTGATCCGGAGGAAGGGTAAGCCCTCCCTCTGAGTGAAATGAGCTGGCAATGGAGATTAGACACCCGAGAAGGCTCTCTGAGCCTTTTTTCTGAGGTAGAGGAAGCCCCAAGAAAGTTTATCTTATGCCCTGGGGACTAAGTGGGCTCCTACCCCTTGTTGACCCCACTAGGTTCCAAGGAGTTTAAAATTCCTTGAAAGCAGTCTGCTCTCCAGGGAGTCTAGGGGTGGGCTTAGCAGAGCCCCACAGAACCTGTGCAGTTGGAGTGAAATTCCACTGGGGCAGGCTCCTTTGTCTGGGCCTTTCCAAGGCCCAGGCAGGATGAATGCAAGATGGCCCATCCATGGGTCTTCCGTTGGCTGACTCGGGGTGCCTACTGCCACAGCCACAGCCACAGAGGGCTTCTCCTTGTCTCCTCCAGTCCTTAGGAACTCTCTTCTCATAGGACCTAGACAGGATGGTCTTGAATCTGTCTTGGAGCTTGCTGTGTGATGAAGCAAACCCCCTCCTGGGGGGCTTGTGGAGAGACTGTGGCTTTAATGTGGGGAGGATTTGACAGCTCCCAGCATTGGGGAAATCCCTTTTGCAGAGACACCATCTTGCAAACAACATAGAGGGCTTGACCTTGCTTTGGTCACAGCCTTCTGGGCTTTGTATTCCTGATTTCTGAAATCAGTGACTAGGACCAGATGCCTCTAAGCCCTGCTCCCTGGGTGTTCTTAGGGTCTCTTGGGACACTTGCTGCACCCTGGTATGATTCTTAGCTGGGAACCCAGAGGTGGTTGTGAATGCAAACCCTTGCAATTCTGGAAGGGCAACTTTGCCACTGCATCTGGAATCACCTTAATTTGTGTTCCCTGTGGTTTCCTTTTCCCCCAAGCCCATTAACCTCTGTGTCCTCCAGGTGGTAGCTTAGATGGAGCTCATAGACCCACCTTGTTTCATGAATGCCTCAAGAGTGAAGTGCAGAGGGGAGGGTAGACCTGAGGGTTCAGACATCTTCCAAAACAGATGACAATACCTCTAATTACTCCTGGGATTTATCTGGAAAGTTGTCCCATCAGGCCAGAATGGCAGGTGGGGTGGCTTCCCTGGTGAGCCACCCAGACCCTGTATAGGCTTCTGCTCAGAGGGACCATGGCTTTGTTCAATGTTCTGCTGTCACTGTCTTGAAATTATTGCATTTTAAACCAAGGTTTCCATATTTTCATGTTATGCAGTTGGTCCTGATAGCATGGTTCTCTTGCCCAGCTGTGTCTCCGAGGCACCATCAACCCACAGTAGGGAGGAAGAATAGACCCTTCTGGGGAAAATGAAAATGATGTGTGTTGGGCTATCATGATTGCCTTATGTTCTCAGACAGTGATCGGTGTCACCTTTTAGTATAGCTCCTGTCACCCTGACACTGTCTTTTCTGATTTGTATCCTCTGGCCATCCTAGCAATATCAGTTTTAACCAAATTAGTTGCCCAGGATCAAGGGCACTGAGCAGTCACCGGGGACTGAGAGCTCATCTTAACCCAATGAGGGGCAGAGGGCCCAGGGTAGGGGTGAGGGTGGGATGAGAGGATTTGGAGACCAGCTCAGGCCTTTGCCCATTCACCAGCCCCCGTGGCTGGAGATGAAACCATTTTTTGAGACCTATCCAGGAGGCTTAGGCCACACCTGCAATCTGTCTGAAATCCTGTTTTGTGATTTCCAGTTGCCCTGGACAGCCTGAAAGGAAGCTGTGGGTCTTTGACTTTCTCCAGGACAACCAGCTTGAAAACTTTCCCTTGAAAGTTTGATCTACCTCTTTCCCTCCTCCCCCACCCTGAGTCATTTTAAACACTAGGAAAGAAAGATTAAATCTGGTGTTTGGGCGTCCCAAGAGCTACTTGGGAAACAAAAATGACAATAGCCAGATTTCAGCATTTTTAAATTAGACAAGAGAAACAATTTTTATGAGGAAGATTTTCCTGGATGACCTTTCTCCCCTCCTCCTTCCCTCCTTCCCTCCTTTCACACTCTCTCTCTCTCCCTGCCTCCCTTCCCCACTCTCTCCCTTCCTCTTCCCTCTCTCCCTCTCTTCCTTACTTCTTTCCCTCCTTCTCTTCTTTCCTTCCTTCCTCCCCCTCATTCCCCTTTCCTTCTCTTCCCCCTTCCCTCTTTTCCTCCCTCCCTCCCTTCCTTTCTTCCTTCCCCTCATTCCCCCTTCCTTCTCTTCTTCCTTCCTTTCTCCTTCCTTCCTTCCTTCCAAAATCTCTGTTGATGTGTAGATAGATCTACCTGCTATCTTTAAAAATATCTTGAACAAGATTTCAGCTTGAGAATCCCTGGGTGCTCTTGGGACTCATGCTGGACCCTAGTAGCAGTTCTTAGCTGGAAACCCACAGCAGCTAGGCTGTAGTGACAGGGAACGTGGGCCTTGGGCAAAATGGAAGATTCTGGAAACTGCTGAATTGAGCTAAAGAGGTGATGGTAGTGGGTGATGAAGTGTTTTCCAGCAGCTCTGCTTCCCATCCTCATTTTGTCACAACCCAACCTCTCAAGTGTTCCTTCTCATGGCTACCATCCCCTCTTCATTAGCAGACAGGTCCCACTCTCCCGAGTTCTCCACCAGTTGTTATCTGCTCCCTGTCCTTGCTGCTGGCTGCTCTGGGACCTGAAGAAAGTTTCCTTATTGTGTCTAAATCAAGAGTCTTGAAGTTTGGGTGGTTTTCAGCTTTTTTCAAGAAGCTATGCTCCAGATTTTTAGAACACCCCAATCGAACAGTTGGATCTGGGACCATGACTTTCTGCCTACATGGAACCAGCTGTGCACCTACCATGGGATTTGGGGATCTTGATAAAAGTCACCCTGGCCCATGAGCCATGCCTGGCAGTGTCTTTGCTGGAGACGTGGCTATTTGAGGCAGAGGGACAGAGTCCCCCATCATGGTTTGGGAAAAGTGTCATGAATCATCTGATACTGACAATGATGGCATGTGGGTGATGAGGATGCCCAACGTTGACTGTGACTGCAGATCACCTCATGGGATCTGCACGACAACCCCTTAGTCGGGGGCTATTGTCTTCTAATATCCTGGAAGAAATTGAGTCACTTACCTGAGGTTACAGAACCAGTGAGTGGGGAATGGGCCACCAGCTCTGTGAGCCCTCCCCTGTGTGTGTTTTCCCAGAATGGGCTCCACTGCGGTCTTGGGTGACTCCTGCGTTCATTCATTTCACACATTTTCTTTGAGTGCCTCTTCTGGGTCAGGGATGGGCCAGACTCTGAGACCCAGTAATGGATGACTGATTCAGGATGGTTTTGTTCTTTTTTGCGGGGGGGGGTTTGGGGTTCTCACTCTGTCGTCTAGGCTGGAGTACAGTGGCACAATCATGGCTCACCACAGCCTCGACCTCCTGGACTCAAGTGGTCCTTCTGCCTCAACCTCCTGAGTAGTTAAGACTACAGATATGTGCCACCATGCTTGGCTAATCTTTTAAAATTTTTTTGTAGAGACAAAGTCTTGCTATGTTGCTCAGGCTGGTCTTGAACTCCTAGGCTCAAGCAACCCTCCTACCTTGGCCTCCCAAAGTGCTGGGATTACAGGCGTAAGCCATGGTTTTGTTCTTTTTGATAGTGATGACTCGTGTGTATATACAATTCTATGTAATAATATATCACCCTTTTGCAGGATTATTTTTATACAACTAAATTAACACACAAGGAAAACCCAAATCTTTGGTCTGTCCCATGTCCTAAATATCATTCTGGAACAACAGTATCCCCTTGCTGAGAAGTACATGCCTTCCCATTAACCTTCCAAAGCCCCTGGCCAACTCTCAGTGGGTCAGAGGGTCTTGTCCAGTGTGCACTCCTAGCAAATCATGTTTTTCCTGGTGTTGGTGATGCTGAGATGGAGGAGCATGTAACTGAAGGAGAGGGCAAGGGTCTCACAGCCACAGGGTTTGTCTTTTCCTGCCCCCTGCTTCATGCCCTGATCTGTCTTCTAGTTGCTTGGTGTGGTCATGAGAGCTGGGCAGAGATGGGTCTGCCCAAATACATCTCTTTGTGCAGATCCAGCTTCAAACTGATGCTCAGCCTTTGGTTCAGAGATTCCTGGTGCTTATAGAGAAATGGGCCCAGGGCCCCTCATCAAATTCCCACCCTGAGGAGAAACATATTTATCTGGCATGGTGAAGAGCTTAGACCCTGGACTTCGATGTCTGGGCTGGAATCCTGGGTCTGTCACCTAAGAGATGTCACCTCTGACAGCCTTACTCTCCCCATCTATAGAGCGGGAAGATAGATAATCCTCTATGAGGACAGATATTATCAGAATGACAGGAGAAAGTTCATAGGGAGCCGTTAGCACAGTGCCTAGAATCTAGTCAACACTCAACGTCATGAAGACAATGACCACCTGATCAAACCACTACCACCATCCCTGCAGGAGCCCTTCCCAGGCCAGAGCAGGCCCTCCTACCATATTCCATTCTGTGGTGGGAGGATACCAGTGAGTAGAAAATTCATTATCAAGTGCTGCTGAAGTCCACCTCCTTGGCCCATCCAGCCCTGGTGTACTGAGCTCCCTGCAGTACCTTGGAGCAAGCCTGGACCCCAAAGTTATTCAGTATTTGCTGACCCCTGGGGGACAGTCTATTCACTTTGATTAGCACAAAGTTTATAGACCCTGGGAAAGATATGCTTGGCTGCTGCTGCCACTGATAAGCAGCTTGATAAAGACGGCTGTGGCCAAAGGTTGTTGGAGCAGGGCTGGGAGTCAGGTTCACTCACCCCACCCCTCCT